CCGCCGCCGCCGCCGCCGCCGCCGCCGGGCTCCGACTGCTGACGCCGCCTCCCCCAGACCGCGGGGCCGAATCGCCTGGGCTGGGCCTCCCGAGAGCCACAGTCATCTTCAGTCCCCGGCTAAGTTGCCGCCATCTTCGTCCTGGAGAAACACTTTTTTGGGGGGGAGCACTGGCTTTTGCGTCATCTCCTCCCGCGCCGAGATCTCTCCATCCTGGCGCATTGGCACCGGGCTGGGCCCGGGCGCAGCAGGAGAGCGAGGACGCACGGGGGCCGGCGCGGTGGGGGCCGGCTGTGCCTGCGGGCCCCGCCTGGACTTCTGGGCTCCCGGCGCCCTCCCCACCTTTCGGTTTTTCTTTTCTGTTACCACTGATGAAAGTCAGAATGCGGACCGCAGGGCTGAGGATGCTGGCTAATCTCTACAGCCTCCCCGGCTCCCGCTCTGCCTCCGGAAAAAGTCCGAGCTGCGGGCGGGCGGTTAGAGGTTTCTAGTGGGGCGAGGGTCTGGGTATTGCCTTCTTCACTAAGGAATGATCGACTTCAGATGAAAGGATAGGGCACAGGAGAGTAAACAAGAATTGGCTAGAGAAGACAGGAGGTGACATTTGGTCTCTGCATGTGCCTAGGGATCCCTAGACAACTAGAGATCAACAGCTACTAGTGCGTTAAATTATTTTGTCAAATGATTTTAGTGTTTGGAAGGGATGGCGTGTGTGTGCGTCTATATCTATAGCTGTAGCTGTACATCTTACAGCGACATATTTCACATTACAAAGTAAAAGATTAGAAGCAACCTCACAGAGTCTTAGGGGAAAAAAACCTAAGAAGACCTAGGCTATCGGGCGGTCACCGCCTAGCCATCTGCTCCGGGCTCGACGTCTTGACCTCGCCGCTTCTTCCTCCGATGTGGAGCATCCCAAACTCCCGTGACCGCCCCCCCCCACACACACACACTCCGACGGCCTGCGCCCCAGCCCCCACTGAGCGGGGCTCTGCTACCGCTAGGACTTCCGCAGCAGCGGGCTACCGGGCTGCCCGAGAAGCAGCCGCTGCAGTCCGAGCCTCTGGTGCCCCTTAGCGTTGGCTCTCGGAGTTCCGAGAATGGAAAGCAACAGACACGCTGGGAAAATCTGGGGTCCCCTCCATCCCGCCTCGTGCCGGACAATGCTGTGAGCAAAGGTCTCATTTTCCCCGAGGACCCTGCCCACTCCGCCCCTCCCTCGCACCCCAGCGGCAGGAGCAGGAGGCTGCGCCAGTGCCAGCTCCCCTGCGCGCGCACCCGGAGCGCACCGCTGTCTCGAGCTCTCTCTAGCTGTCGCGTAGGGCAGCGACTTGCTCCACCCGGCCACTCACTGTGTCAACGTCCCTCCTCTGCTTTCTAATGACCCAAATACTCTGTCCGGTGCACATTTACATGGGCAATACTCGGGTGCCATCGTTCTAAGTCAATATCGTGGGGAACCAAAAGGATGGATCATCATCCGTATTCATTTTCCTTTCCGAGGCGCCGTGAGTGTTGGGACACGGGAGAACGGGGTATCTTTTAAAATGGCAAGTCGAAAAAGATAATGGGCGTGATTCAACCAGCCAGCCCTTTCCTCAGCATAATAAGGTATATACTAAATTTTACTCACAGAAATCCTAAGTTCCTAAAAACTATATGCACTGACCATCAAAGCTTGGTGCAGTTTGAGAGCTGGTCGATCTTTAGGTGTCCTGTAATGTTTTTAAAAGACCATTTGTGTGGGTATATCATTCCGGGACCTTGGATTTCAACATGCTAATCTTTTTTAACTACATATAAGATCTAGAAACTAACTGATATATGTTTTATGGCAAGTTTATCCTTACCTCAAAGCATCTTTAAATAAGCAAAAATTGAGGTTCTGTTGAAGATTAAACATGAAATAAAACTTTTTTCTGAGCTTTCTATCTGAACCCAGCTTAAGCTTTGGAGATAGTCTTTTAATTCTTCTCTCTTTTGATAGCTTAAGTATCTTGACATTGAATAAAATACTCTTTTCTCAACCAGTGATGTATGTAGATGAAGATATCCTTGGAAAAATCCCTTAAAATTTTAGAGAGCATTCTTCTACCCTCTTATCATGATTGCTCTTTTCTTAAATGTAAAACTCCAACCCTCTTAAACCAAATCAGATTTAAATACAACATAAAGTCTGCTTTTGGACATGAGTTTAGGGTCTGGCATTTTCTATTGTATAAATAAATATATGTGGAAGATAATATCAGAAGTCTGCATTTCTGTTACTCAATAAAAGATGTGCAGAACATGAAAGTGAATATATCATATTCTAAATCCTGAGATGATTCCCTCTCCTTTTTGTTTTGAACTGGTTGGCCGTTTGAGATAAAATATAGATGAAATGCAATAATCCAAGGCCTTTCTTTTTATAAATTCAAAGCAAGGATTTTTTAAAAACTTTAATGTTAAAAGGGATTTTTCTTGATTATCTCTGTTATCTGCCTTTATCTCTATCTCTACATTCAGCGGTTTAAAACCTGGGTGACAGGATTTAATTTCTCTGCTTTCTCATATCTACCCTTTCATTTTTCTTCACTTTGTTTCTTCCTAATTTGACAGGTTTATATTTCTCTTGATCTCTCCTGTGCAAGATACAAAGCTCAGAAAATGCTTGGCTAGGGAAGCTCACAGGGTCCCTGAGCTAAAAAGCTCACACAGAAAGCTTACAGGCAGACCAGACTGAGTTTCAAAACAGAAATATGATCTGAGGGCTACTGGCTTTTTCACATGAAAATGGAAAATCCATCAGAGTCCTTCTGCTACCCCAAAAGGAAAAAGGTGGGCCAAGTAGCTGTTGTAAGGGATGCAAGGCTGAAATTCCTAAACAGACAGCAACTCTCCAGCTATGCAACACTCCACCACTGCCCAGCCCAGCGTCCTGTGCACCCCATATGCCTCCAGTCTTGGCACTTTCAACTCAGGTCACACATACTCTTGTTCACAGTCATTAAAAGCACCTTGGTTGAATATGAAAAGACCTTAAGTCCCATGGGCGCCTGGGTGGCTCAGTC